CCTCTCTCTCTGAAGAGGGGTAGAGGAGAGCATCTGTCGGTCCCATCTGGGGTCCTTCAGGTCCCCAGTAGCCGATTTGGCCTAAACCACGACACTGACCTCCAACTAGACTCTGCATCACTAACCACAACCCTCTGAGCTCTATCTGTAAGCCAGTTCTCAGTCCACCCCACTGTCCATTCATCTAACCCACACTTCCTAAGCTTGCCTGCAAGGGTGATGTGGGAGACAGTGTCAAAAGCCTTGCCGAAGTCAAGGTAGACAACATCTACTGCCCTCCCCTCATCCACCACTCCAGTCACTTCATCATAGAAGGCTATCAGGTTAGTCAGACATGACTTCCCCTTGGTAAATCTGTGTTCACTACTTCCGATAACCTTCTTTTCCTCCAGGTGCTTTGAGATGACACCCAGAACAAGCTGTTCCATCATCTTTCCAGGGATGGAGGTGAGGCTGACCGGCCTGTAGTTTCCCGGGTCATCCTTCCTGCCCTTTTTGAAGACTGGAGTGACATTGGCTATCCTCTAGTCCTTAGGCACCTCACCTGTTCCCCAGGACCTTTCAAAGATGATGGAGAGCGGCCCAGCAATGACTTCCCCCAGCTCCCTTGGCACTCACAGGTTCATCCCATCAGGACCCATGGATCTGTGGATATCCAGTTTATCTAACTGATATCTGACTTGCTCTTCATCAACCAAGGGAAAGTCTTGCTTCCTCCAGACTTTCTAAGAAGTTTAACTAGATTTGAGGCAGACAAGATATACCTTTCTGTTCTTTTTCAAGTGTTGGAACTTTTTTTTCAGAGAGTATATTTAAAAAAACTAAACGTAATAGGCAGAAGCTACTCCTTCATAAGTGAGTAAAGCAGCGTACACTTTGAATAAAGAACAAGAGGCATACAGAGTTCAATTCAGTGTTCCTGAAAGCACGTAGAATTTATTTTTATAGAAGGAAAGTAAAGGGAAAATTCTCTTCAATTTACTGAATTTTACTAGCTGTTTCTCTGAGGTAAATCTTAATTTTCTAGACAGTAGCTTAGGTAAAGGGCCTAAAACGATAAATGCATCCAGAGATGAAAGCATGGGCTAAGAGCAGCATTGTATTTTTAATACAAGGAATAAATGCAAAGGCTGAAAGTAACCATGTGTCAATGAGTGAAGGAAATAGACAACAGTTGCAACCAAATTGTCTTTAAGAAGTTTCATCAGCATAATTCACTTTACCTGTACTGTTTTTAATTGCTGGGTCTGCAAAACAGAAGGCTGGGCTGCAGTGTTTATCAGCTGACTTCCTTGCGTCAAAGCTGAGACACCAACAACAGGTTTCACTTCTGACCGACCTCCAATAACAACTTTGATCTGCTGGCCTTGTACCTTGGAGTCTCCACCTTGGGCTTGGGATGTGGCCTTCTGAGCCTGCGGGAGTTGGCTGTGGGGTAATGCTAAAACAATAGGCTGGCCAGACTTGCCCAAAGTTGTTACAATTAACTTTTGCCCATCCGGTTTAATACTCTGATTCCCTATTTTAATATCAGCAGTCTTGTTCAGAATAATTTGATTGGCTGATATAGTGACAGGGGTCTGAGCACCAAGTTTATGGAGGCCACTTGGAAAGGTAGGCTTTACTACTGCATTCACATCAGTTTTTGGGGTTGTGGTGTTCACTGTAACGTCACCCGAGTGATTGCTGGGTGCAGTAACTGATTCTGTGGTGACTGCGCCCGTAGTCGTAGCTAAGGAGTCACTGGTGGAGCTTATGTTCACTATTTCTTCCAGTTCAGTTTCCATGGGAATAGAATCTCCCATTGGGGATGACACAATAACTGCCTCGATGCTGTCGTCTTCCACCAGAGTCATACCAGTGTCCATTATTTCCTCAGGGAGCAAGCTGTTGACTTCTGCTGAAACCACCTCCATTTTAGCAGTTGTGGCAGTGATGACCAGAGCAGGTACTGCAATAATATTTTAAAAAGTTATTGACTTCCAGAAAACATAAATTGTCAAAGCTTTATGAATAATATTACCAAAGAAGAAAATATAGTTGCAGAAGTTTTTTCATACTGAAGGTATTGTGCATGCACAGGAGGGACACAGGAAAAAAATTATTATCAAAACATAACATATTTAAGCTGAATTTACTCTCAGTAAGAATTTATATCAAACCTCTTGAGCATCATCCATTGAAGCCAAATCAAGGAACTGACTTACTATGGATTACCAGTCTACTCTTGACAACACAGTACACAAAGTAGTAGTGTTTCCCCCTAAGAGATGAACACCGTGTTCACAGACATTTAAGCTCACTGAAATATAAAGCAGGAGTTAAACAGCTTTAAAAATCCAACCGACGATAATGGCTTTTCTCATATACATCAACATTGATTAGCAGGCTATCTTGCCTCAAGAGGCTTGTTATCCATACCAGATATAACAGGTTCATTTTTGCCATATTCTCATTTTGGAAATCTCAGAAAAACAAACAGTGATGGGCTTTTACAAACCCACAAGCTCAATCAACAGCCTGCCTACCCCAGGACCAAGCCAAAGCCCTGCCCTTCCAAGATGAACACGTAATTCCTCTATGCTGGCGAGAAGAGCAGCTCAGTATTTTTTTTTCCTCAATACTCACAAGAAAATATAATTTCTAAATTCACGATTAATTTGAACCCTGTTCTAAACCCAAACCAAAGAACACCCCATTTGAAAGAAAACAGATTTTTTTTAAGCTGACTAGTACAAGCAACCAATTTATAATAAAAAAAAAATAAATAAAAAAAGCAACAGTGAGATTCACAAAGCCAGAGTCACTTACCACTTGAGAAATCTTAAAGACATTGCTGGAAATGGTCACAATTACCATTCCCACTTAAAACTGTATCACTGTCAGAGGCTGAAAACAGATCAGTTTAATAAGGCATTTTCCCCACTTCCTGACCCCATCAGCATGCTTGGGCACTGGATGGGCGACCACACTGCATTGGTATGTGTACACACTCTTGAGTACTTATTATAAGGTCAGGATGACAGGATCCTTGCAAATTCAGTTTCCTACTTGCTAGCTGGATTATTCATACTAAGAGACATTCATAATTAAGGAACTGTGCCACTAAAAACACCGACCAAATGCTGCGGTGACACTGATTCCTCTGGAGTCATTGTGGTTCCATTTTGCACAGGAGCTAACTACACAACAGCTGCATTTTGCTCACGAAGTAGAAGGAGGGGGGACAAAACCCTACTATAATCTACCTAGTTTCCATGCCAAGCTCAGTAGCCTGAGCTGGAACCGTCCATGGCCTTCCTGATCGTGAAGGGCGACATCCTGATTCCCCTCATCTCCAGAGTACAAGCCATCTAAAACTGCCATGATGCTTAAGAAGCGTGAGCTGTGAAAGGATTCATCCAGATGACTGACAGTCAAACTCACACACAGCTCACTTATTGGCAGGCATTTAAAGATACAAAGTTATCTGATATCACTGCCAGAAATACCTCCTTTGGAAAGCATTTCTCCCAAAGTAATGTCAGTACAGCTTGCAATGATGCCAGCACCAGTAACTAGCACTAGACAAAACAACTTACTCCTAAGGACATATTAGTAACAACAGTATTGCATTGCTGTCTTAAAGTCAAATTAGTTAACTGCATACAAGATTACACAAAAATAGGAATAGTAAAAGCAGACTGTTTCAGCAAATATTAGGGCCACTAGCTCTCCTCCTGAGCTGTGTTGCTTTATTGCCTCCTCATCAACCTGCATGGGCTTGTGTCTTAGATCTAACAACTTGGAACTATTTTGGGAAACCCTCCTCCCCATCATCCTGTTCTATACTGACAAGCACAAGGGGCTTGGATCCAGAAGTTCAACTCCTAGGGTAAAGCACAATCTAAATAATGATTGCTTCCATGTTTGAAAAGGAGGGAACAATCTAAATCAGACAATTGAAAAATCATCAGGTTCAGTAATGACAAATAATTGTAAATTACTTGCTTTTTGTTTTGCATTTGTACATGTTATTCCCTAAAACAAAGGTCATTCTTAGTATCTTTTAACAGTATGACCATAAAGTATTTATACATATTTAAGTATTTATACAGTTCAACAGTTATTTATATTCTTCATTCTTATCATTTGGTTATGTTACAAAGCAGTAAATGGTTATTAAATAAATACCTATACCTAATTGAAAGGATATTTATATTTAAATGCATGGAGTCAGGGTTTTAAATAGCATTCTCACTTCAAACAAACCACTTGCAAGTCAGAATGCAGAAGGAAAAGAAATACATTACATCAAGTCTGGAATCAGAAACTGACTAGTTAAAAGAAAAGAAACATTACACATGGTCACTGGATTAACAGTTTATGGCCATCATATTGGAAGATTTCAGTTATTAGGTCTCATCATTTTACAGTTGGCTTCCATTAACGTATTCAGGCTACTGTCATCAAAAACAGCAAGTAAAGAACACCACCACAACCCATTTGTTCTATTTCTTGATTGCTTATTGGATATGATGGAAATAGATACATGAAATGCAATAATGAAAATATCCTAGCTATATGAGAGGCTACTGTCGTCAAAGGCAGCTTCAACATCCCAGCAGATTTTACTTCTAGGCATTTAACCAGGATTTCTTAACAGTACAGCTGTTTATTTTTTTCTAATGCTTTTACACCAAACAGATACTGGTTCCATTCTTCCAGCTCCTCTACTAAAGTAATTTCCAACAGTAAAAGCATTCCAACCTCTTAAGATTCTAACAGGTTTGAGATCTTCAAGACAGGGTAGAGAATTATTTTAACTATTTAAAAAGACTTGAAAATTCCCTTCATATCAGCAATTATGCTTTGAGTCACTTGATAATGTAAAAGCTGTACCTACAACGCCCCAAAATGATGTATCAGTAAGTGTTTATGCTTATTTAGCTCAAAACCTGAAGAAAAAACAATCTAAACCAAGGAAGTGGATAAGCATGCTATAAGACGTGGGAACTCCACAAAACTTCTAGGATCAAATTACTAAATAGGTAACTTTAGCTGACCAAAATAATGGCCATACAACTAAATTAAAAGCTCAAGAAGAAATTCATGTAATGAAGATTTGTTTGGAAAAAGACTGTCCCAGCATAGCTCAGGACACCCAACCAGCCAAACACATAAAAAAATAGGGGACTAAAGCATATCATCAGTCTTGGAGCAACAACTTTGAAAAATGTTGAGTACTGTTAGGAGGACAGGGACAAAAGCTTAGCTTGAGTGAACCACCTCTGATCATCTTACCCATAGCACAGATCTCTACACTTGATATTCACAAAGAATACAGATATAATGTCATAAATGGTACAGGGGAGTTATAAGGAAGAGGATAAAGAATGCGATGATTGTTGTCAAAAATACAGAATGGTGCCTGACAAGTACCTGTGAACTTTCATCTATTTTAACTTTTCTGTCACTAGTATGTCAGTGCAGAATCTTTAAGAAACTAACACTGTTAAAGTGTTGAGATTGATAAAATCAACACCTTTGTTCACAAAACATGCAAGACAGTCACACTAAATGGGAAAAAAATCAAAAGAATCACTAGAATAAAGCACATTGATATACAAACAAGTAACCAAAATGCAAGATATAACAATGCCTGTATTTTACATTAACTAACTGCATCCTATTATTTCTCCAGAAACGCCCCCATTTCACTAAAATAACCTTCCAGTCTGCAACCATGAGCAGTTCGAGTGTAGCACTTACATGAGCATATGTATACAAAACCATCAGTGAGGCTATGTACTGCAAGGAAACTGTTCAGAAGTTCAGATAACTCGGAAATAAGGTTGCTGAGACCAGCTTTACAGGATGTCTTGGAATCACGCTGCATTTTAGCAAGGTCATCACAACGAAGCAGTGAACTAAGGGAGTTGTAACCATTTGTGGCCCCATTAGCGGTCCCCTTCCCATTCTCTTCTCATTACACAGCACAGAACTGGTGGCATTCAGCCATGGGAAGACTCTGATATAACTTGACAGGTTTAAGAACATTGGCCAGACCTGCCTTAAGTCATTGGTAATGTTCATTTTAAACTAAATTCTGAAGTGTCACTTTCACCAGAATATAGGCAAATCAAATCTGTAACAGCTTTTGTATGAGCACCTACCTCAAAGTGCAAAAAATCCCACCCCAAAATCAAAAGCTTCATAAATGCATTAAGTCCAACAGAGCCCCCAAAATAGCAGGGATTCTCTTGGGATCAGTAAAACTGTTGCTGCATGCTAAGCAAATGCTAGCTGAAACCAAGTATCTTTGCCAGATACAGCTGCTGGTAGTTCTTTAAAGCTGGGGTAAGATGCACACACTTAAGCGTAACATTATTAAGAGCCAGCAAGGGAAATACTTTCAACTTTCTGAGCTAGGAACTGCAAAAACCCTTAAGAAGATGTATGAAGAGGAACAATGAAACACCACAAAAAAATCCCTACCCTCAAGGAGACAAATCACATGGACATGTCTAACATATGTAAAAATAAAAATTTGCATAAAAATGCATCACTAACCACAAGAAGATGGATATATAACCATATATTCATTATTACAATTTTCTTCCTGAGGAATGTAACATAGGATACAGTTTTGCAGGTCCTGAAAACCAGAAAATCAGAATCCTTACATTAAGGGACTTATGAGCATCTCCACAAACCCTTGGTGGCACAAAAGGCCAAGTCTTTTCCAAAGATCAATAAAGGTAAGATGACATAGTTAGCTTTTAAGAGAATTAAGGTGTATGCCTAATAATTTGCAAAGCAGAAGGGAGAACACCAGTAGTTGCAGTCTCTCTCAAATGATTTACTAAGCTGTGCAGGTTGGAATGAGGCTGGAAAGTAGGGTCAGATGAACGGCAGAAAAGTAATAGTGGACAACCTAACAAGTACATTGCAAGTACAATGGATTTT